CAAAATTTGCGAGCTTCACAGGGATATATTTTCCTAATTTTACAACATTTCGCAACCAAACTTTGCAATTTTACTCATTTTAAGATTCTAGCTATGGTAATAGATTTCGACAATGAGCTCCAGAAGCCGGTTGTCGAGCTCTAACAACAAGTTCATGTTTCAGAGATTAGCCTGTCGCAGCAGTGGTAGAAGTAATCGACTAATCGTAGAAATCTTTTACATCTTCGGATGACATTGATGGTGGCAAATAGACCACATTGACTGCTAACCGAGAAATACATCCCGCGGTATATATATATATATATATATATATATATATATATATATATATATATATATATATATATATATATATATATATATATATATATATATATATATATATATATATATATATATATATAATAATAATAATTTAATATTTTAATACAATTTTTCAATTGAATAAGTTGCTACTTTAAGTTTCATGCAACAAGCAATCATCAGGCAACATATTAATACGGTTAAGTTGTTGCGTTTTACTACTCGCAATGTTTGCTGACGCGTGTTCGTTTGAATCGTCCCGCGTGGAATCTGCGCGCATGCACGCATTTCATGAAAATTTCGCTACGTTTATTTAAATTAGACCGAAAATTATAACTACGAAGTATTTGCAATTTATCTTCTAAACATAAATTGCAACTATTTAACGAAATCTTATAAACTAGCACATGACCGGATAACCGACGATATTAACCAGGAACTGTGCGAAATTTCTTCCAACTTGAATATTGGTAACCGAATCCACGTAATGGCCGAAACTGAAGCTTTCATTACGTTGAAAGACCATAAGGACAACTTCGAATCGAACCCCAAATGCCGATTAATCAACCCAGCCAAAAGCGAACTTGGTAAAGTAAGCAAAGTTATACTGGATTCCATCAATCAAGAAATCAGATCAACCACCAACGCAAACCAATGGAGAAATTCCCAATCTGTAATCAACTGGTTCAAAGACATCGAACACAAATCTCAGTATAACTTTGTTTCTTTTGATATCGTCGGCTACTACCCTTCCATCAGTGAAGAACTCCTCGATAAAGCCATCGCTTGGGCCAAAACTATTGTTAATATTACTGACGAACATGTTTCAATCATCAAACACGCCCGCAGATCCGTTTTATTCAATTCCACCAAACCATGGATAAAACGAAACAGTCCTACAACATTTGACGTCACCATGGGGAGCTTTGACGGTGCGGAAATTTGCGAACTTGTTGGTTTGTATGCATTAAACAAAGTAAGCGCGAGATTTGACAGCAATAACATCGGATTGTACAGAGATGACGGATTAGCCCTGATCAAAGGTACCAGTCCACGACTAGCAGATAAAGCAAGAAAAGACCTGTGTTCTGCATTCCAGGAATTGGGACTGAAGATCACTGCCGAGGTAAACTACAAAACTGTTAACTTCCTCGATGTTACGCTTAATCTTACTAATGAGTCATACAAGCCCTACAGAAAACCAAATAACGACCCACTGTACATTCACAAAGAATCCAACCATCCACCATCAATCACCAAACAACTCCCAGCAGCAATCAACCGCAGAATCGCTCATTATCATCCGACAAAAAAACCTTTGATTCTGTTGCTTCCACTTACGACTACGCCCTGAAGCAGAGTAATTACAACACCAAACTTCAATACTCAGCTGCTGAAACAACGTCTACAACCGAAAGTCGATCGCAAAACGAGAAACATAAACGCACAAGAAGAATTATCTGGTTCAACCCGCCGTATAGTAAAAACGTACGAACCAATGTCGCCCGAGATTTCTTGAAATTAATCGACAAACATTTTCCCAAAACATCACCCCTTCATAAGATCTTCAACCGAAACACGATCAAAGTTAGCTATAGCAGTATGAATAATGTAAAGAGAGTCATATCGAGACATAACAAACGCGTATTGAGAGAATCTAAATCCGAAGAATCTACCAACGATAACAACATTGAAAAACTTTGTAACTGCAGAAATGTAAACGAATGCCCGCTTAACAACATGTGCTTGACGAAAGATTTAGTTTATCAAGCCGAGGTAAAAACGAAAGACAACAACGATATAAAAACCTACATTGGTATGACAGCGACAACATTTAAGGAGAGATACAGAAATCACAAGAAATCATTCAATGACATTAAATACGAGAATGAAACTGAACTTTCTAAACATGTTTGGAAACTAAAACTAAATAGAAAACAATTTAATATCAAGTGGTCCATCTTATCCCGAGCAAGTTCAATCAAAGCCGGTGGAAATAGTTGCAATTTATGTTTAGAAGAGAAATTGCAAATACTCCGTAGTTATAATTCACGGTCTAATTTAAATAAACGTAGCGAAATTTTCATGAAATGCGTGCATGCGCATTCCACGCGGGACGATTCAAACGAACACGCGTCAGCAAACATTGCGAGTAGTAAAACGCAACAACTTAACCGTATTAATATGTTGCCTGATGATTGCTTGTTGCATGAAACTTAAAGTAGCAACTTATTCAATTGAAAAATTGTATTAAAATATTAAATTATTATTATATGCTCTACAATTGTCTTGTATTAAGCACTCTTTATTCTTAAAAACGGGAAATCACTTATGAAATTATATATATATATATATATATATTATATATATTATATATATATATATATATATATATATATATATATATATATATATATATATATATATATATATATATATATATATATATATATATATATATATATATATATATATACCGGGTGGCGCAAAAAAAAGTATAACTGTTTGATTACATATAGCTCAAAGACCATAAGCAGTAGAACCCAAAATCGAGTTTCATTGCATCCAGTGATGTCTAACTTAAATTTTGGTATATTCGACAGGCATTTTCGTCCAAGATTGACTGAGATATGAGTGTTTAAACTTTTGTTAGCAAATTTGAAACGGTCACAAATTAGCTAAAAACGGCCTATTAAACTGATTTTTAGCTAATTTGTGACCGTTTCAAAATTGTTAAAAAAAGTTTAAACTCTTATATCTCAGTTAATCTTGGACGAATATGCCTGTCAAATATACCAAAATTTAAGTTAGATATCGCTGGATGCAATTAAACTCGATTTATGGTTCTACTGCTTATTGTTTCTGAGTTACAAGTAATCAAACAGTTGTACTTTGTTTTGCGCCACCCGGTATATATATATATATATATATATATATATATATATATATATATATATATATATATATATACATAGCTTAAGATTTTGGTTTACGAAACACAAACAGTGCTCAATACCATATAGATAGAGCGTAATATAGTTTTTCGTTTTACCTCAAAAAACCATAACAGTCTGTTTCAAGTCTATATATATTTAACAATTATACCATGAGCTCGAGTCGTATATGAGCTGATAGCCGACGAGGTGCGTAGCACCAAGTCGGCTATCAGCCATATACGACGAGAGCGAATGGTATAATTGTTTTATAATATAGTCTAATATTAACTGAAGCAGTAATTAATTATTCACTGTTACAATGTGTTGACAATTTGTTCGGCCAAAAACCGCTTGAAAATTTGAAATACTTTTGTTTTACAACTCGAAGACGAAGTGAAAGAAATGGTTTTAGAACCTCTATATCTCACAGGAAGCTCAGATATATTATACAGATGTTTGGTACTATAGTAAGTGCTTGTTGACTGCAACTTCATTTGTCGTTCATTGCAAACTTTTCTGAACAATTTATATTTTCAATGAACATGTTTTTTCGCTGTTGTTTCGGTATTAATTCTTTAAAAAACTTGTATTTAAACTAATTTCTACGTAATAAATGTATTTTGCTAACCTGTCAAATTTTTTTTGAGAGTTTTTCCCTGTACTCTTATGTTTCTCAAAGCGAATATTTTCCTTTTTCTGCTTCGCAAAACTCATGTAGTTTTTGGACCGCCATCTTGTTTTTCGCTACTCGCCGTATATGAGCTGATATACGGCGAGTAATTCAACCAATCAGATTGCAGAACAGCTCATATACGGTGGATGGCTATATTATGTGTGATACACCGTACAGATATTGCTAACTTAATTTAGTGGAAGGTAAGTACTAAAATCACTACAGAATACCAGTGGCATGTACAGTACCACAGTATATTAGGTTTACCAATAATTTTGAAAAATTGAGTCTTCTATGCTAAATTTGATTACTCAGTGAGATTCCTGAATAGTAATTAAAGGCCGTTGAGGCCGACTCACAGATACGATCAAATGAAAGTGTCAGAAAGACTTAGAGCAGTTGGTTTTGCAAACCGTGCACCGTGCGAATTTTGCCAATTGAGAAACGTATCGAAAAATAAAATTTTTGAATTTAGTCATAACCTCAAGTGATATATTATACGCATTAGTTTTGAGTGCGTGTTACGCAACATACAAAAAATCTCCTCTTAATTCAAGTAATTTCGGGAAACGCCTTGCATTGGACTTCTTGCCCCGTTTGTGCTCTTCCGTTTGAGTTCATCTGCTAATTGTGTTGTCTTTTGTAAGTCTGGTTTTCGTATTACGTGTCTTGTATCATATTTATTGTTTAGTCATATAGTGAATACTCAATAAAATATTATAGAAATAAGTGGAGTTAATCATCCTCGCTTGCAGCTGAGAGATAAGCTGAATTACGAACACGACGCAGCTCAAACCAAGTACGTCTTTCTGATAAAGGCTTTCTAAGAGCGACTCTGCCGCGCAGCCTTCGCTAAGATCTGAAATTTGAGCGTTCAAATTTGGTAGATTTATAACCAAAATTCCTGCGAGCAACGAATACTTTTATATGGTTAATCCCTGTTGTGACGTCACCAAAAGTAAACCAGCGTTAATGAGAAGAAAAATTTATTGCTAATAATACAAAATAATATTTGACAATACACTGTCACTGAACTAAAGCTTAAGATTAAGTTGAACGGATTAAGATTATCCAGATTAAGATTATCCAGATTAAATTGACGGTTTATACCCCATGCATTATGCAACTTTTGCTATGCATTACGCGATTTTTAAACGATATTGATGAAAAAGAATCCCAGGGCTAGGACATTTGCCACCTAACAGTTGTGCGGGGGCCGTACATTTTCCCTCCTGCTGTTTTCCCGCGGCCGGGAAATTTCCTTTTCTTCCCAAAAAAAATGCTTCCGCCGGAGGGGGGATGATCACTCATGGAATAGATGATTCTCATTAAGTTTTCGTAGCACTTTGCATGGTGGTTATAGTGGTATCACTAATAAAGATAGCGATGTTTTCGCGAATATTTTGCTGTTGGATATCGTGCACCTGACCCTAGCTTTTTAAAAGTTTTTGCACAGGTCGGGACAAAAAATAAGCCATCTTGAATATCAGTGATACCACTATAACCACAATGCAAAGCGCTACGAAAACGTAAAAAGGGGAATCATCTATTAACTCATGCATAACAAGTTTAAAGAGACAATCCGAAAACAAGTTAAATATTTTCAATTTATGTTACTAGTCTAGTGGGGCGACACATTGTCATGCATACTCATATGATCTTCAAGTTCAGGGGCAATTTCAAACTCGACATCACAGACACAACAGATATAACCAATACCAGTTGCTTCTCTTGCTTCTAATTCCTTACAGACATCACATTGGTAGGACGTACCATGGTCTTTGACCTTGTGCTGATATAAACTTTCAATATCAGGAAACTGTTTGTTGCATTTGTCACAGAGAAAATGATTATCACTCGGTATCTCACTAGCATGTCCTTGACCTTGAATAATTTCTTTGCCACAGGTGTGGCACAATAATAAGCCATCTCTCAAGTGT